AGAAGGGTGCAATAATGAATGAATGGAATCCCAAAATCTCTGTAGATGTTCATTGAAATGAAAAATAAACAACCTAAATTTAAAAAAAAAAAGAGTATGTAAAATCTGAGTAATATATAGCTACAATAGTACAAACCATAGCACAAAGAAAATTATATATAATTAGTACATATCAGGGAAGAACTTGTTGGGGTCACTTTTTGCTAAATTTCCATTGTTGTTATTTGCTGTTGAGTCACCTGTGACTCATAGTGACCCTGTGTACAACAGCTCTCCACTGCTCAATCCCTTGCCAATCTTACTGTCTCCTAAACACCTATTCCCATTACCCCAGTGGCTGAATCAGTCCATCTCATTGAGGGTCTTCCTCTTCTGCTCTGTCCCTCCACCCTCCTAAGCATGATGTCCCTCTCCAAGGACTGATTCCACCTTGCAAAATGTCCAGAGTATGTCAGACGAAGCTTCAGAATCCTTGACTCTGGAGAAAAGTTGGGAATAGAGAAGAAGGATCAGCAGTTGGAAAACATGGACTTTGGTGACAGAAATGAAGTTGGACATAGAATGATAGACTTTTACACAATTAATGACTTATTCATTGCAAATACATTTTATAAGAAACATAAATGCAGGCTGTAAACATGGATTTCACCTGATGGTGTATATAGGAATCAGATAGATTACATCTGTAGAGAGAATCACTGGGAAAGCTCAATATCAGCTATGAAAACTAGGCAAGGATATGCAAGTTCAAGCTGAGGCTGAGGAAAATTAAATCAAGTCCACAGGAACCAGAATTTGACTTTGAGTCTATCCCATCTGAATTTCAAAACCATCTTAGGAACAGGTTTGAGGCCTTGGACATTAATGAATGAAGACCAGATGAGTTGTGGGAGGATATCTAGAATATCATCCAGGAAGAATGCAAAGGTCATTACAAAGACAGAAGAGAAAGAAAAGACCAAGATGGATGTCAGAAGAAACTCTTAAGTATTGCACTGTAGCTCTTAGAAGCTAAAACAAAGGGAAGAAATCAAGATATTAAGGAGTTGAACAGAAGATTACAGAGGGCAGTGTGGGAAGACAAAGTATTTCAGTGAAATGTGCAAGGAGCTGGAGTCAGAAAATCAAAAGGGCCGAACTTGCCCAACATTTCTTGAGCTGAAGGAACTGAAGAACAAATTCAAACCTCAAGTTGCAATACTTAAGGATATTATATGATTCAGAAAGAATATTAAATGATCCAGGAAACATTTAGAGAAGATGGAAAGAGTATAGAGAGTCATTGTACCAAAAGGAATTGGTGGACACAGAAGAATTTCATGAAACAATGTATAAGCAAGAGCCTGTGGTAATGAAGGAAGTTCAGGCTGCTCTGAAAGAATTGGGCAAAAAACAAAGTCTTAGGAATTGATGGCATACCGATTGACATTTCAACAAACAGACGCTGCCCTGGATGTGCTCACCAAGCTGTGCCAAAAAAATCTGGAGGACAACCACCTGGCCTACTGCCTGGAAGAGATCTATATTTGTTCCCATTCCAAAGAAAGATGACCAACAGAGTGTAGAAATTATTGAACAATATCATTGATAACGCATGCAAGCAAGATTCTGCTGAAGATGATCTCAAAACGACTGGAACAGCATATCAACAGAGAACTGTCTGAAGTGCAGGCTGGATTTAGAAGAGACCATGGCACTAGGGATATTACAGCTAATGTCAGATGGATCTTGGCTGAAAGCAGAGAGTACCAGAGGCATGTTTGTCTGTGTTTCATTGACTATGCAAAGGCATTTGATTGTGTGGATCACAACAAACTCTGGCTGACTCTGAGAAGAATGGGAATCACAGAACACTTCATTGTGCTTGTGCGAAACCTATACTTAAGCCTCAAGTCAGAACAGAGCAAGGAAACACTGCATGGTTCACAATTGGAAAGGGTGTGTGTCAAGAATGTGTCTTGTCTCCATATCTTTTCATACTATATGTGGAACAAATTATCCGAGAGGCTGGGCTCTATGAGGAGAAGTGTGGCATCAGGATTTTAGGTAGACTTATCAACAGCCTGCATTATGCAGATTAAACAAATTTCCATTAGTACTTATAAAATTTTTAAGTATTGAAATAAAGTTAAAGTTATAGGAAGAGAGTATAAATAAAGGAGGGAAGACTAGAATAAACTTTGTGATTCTGAATTAGCATTGGAGAAATCATTATGGATTATAGATTTTTAAAAACAAGCATGAGAAAGCATATCCACTTGATTAAAAACCCATAATAAAAAGTTGAGCTACTGTAAAATCTTCCTCTCCTTTAAAAAACAATTTGTTACGGTAACCTATATAATAAAAATTTATCTGTATTAACCATTTTAAGTGCATAGTTCAGTGTTGTTACTTACATTCACAACTTTGTGTAGCCATCTTTTAAATCAGATTCAGTTTCCTAGTTTTTCTGTTACTCCACAAAAACTCAGTTAGTTTAAGCAGTAACTTTAAGCAGTAACTCCCTCTCTCTTCTTCCCAACCTATTACATAATTTGCCAAAGATGGTATAGCTTGGTAGAGCCATCCAAATAACAAATGCTGGCGTCTATAACATTAACAACAATAGAAGAATGTATGACTAGTTTGCTAAAGTCCGTGAATGCCTAATTAATAAATAGGTATTAACTTTCATAACCTTTGTCTATGCCATAGTTTGTTCACTAGTAACTAGCTGCTGTTCTGTCATTTCTGATTCATACCTACTCCTTGTTGTGTCACAGTAGAAATCTTCTAGCCCTGCACCATTTTTCTATTCTTTTCCTTTTCACTCAGCTTATTGTTTGCTGTGGAGCTGAAAGAGACTCATAGCTGACCCTCCAGATGGGTTTTCAGATGCAGTAAATTACATGGGAGGAAACTACCCATCCTTTTCCCTCAAAGCAGCTGGTGGATTTGAACCATGCCCTTGGGATTGCAGTGTGTCACTAGGTTTCAGTGTATTTTCAGAAAATACTAAGATGAGCTATTAATAAAATTAAAACTCGTTGCTGACAAGTTGGAACTGACTCATAGCTGACCCTGCAGTGAGTTTTAGAGGCAGTAAATTGCATGTGAGAGATTACTTGTTTTTCTTCTGTGGAGCAACTGGTGAATGTGAACTGTCAGAGAGGGGCTACGCCTTTGGGTTAGCAGTACAGTTACTGATGAACTATGCAATCTGAGCTCCCAGTCAAATAAAGGGGGAGAACCTACACATGTACACATTATGAGAGCTCTGATGTCTTAGTGGTAAAGAGTTGTGCGCTGCCAAACTGAAGATGCCAAACTGAAGACATGTTTGAATCTTTCACCTGCTCTATGGGAAAAAATTAGGTAATCTCCTCTGGTGTTATTCTTTACTGCCTCTTAAAACCCACTGGAGGGTCAGCTATGAGTTGATTCTGACTTGGTACATAACAGCTTTCTCTGTGTGTGTGTGTGTGTGTGCGTGCGTGCATGCGTGTATTTATATATAAATACACACTGCACATACACACACCTAAAAATATGTACACATACATGTAGATAAATACACACACACACAAACACACACAAATATTTTGTCTCATCTTTAAAGTGAGAGCTGTAATTTGATAGTCTGAAAATGACAAATAGTTTCCACAAAGTGATTAGTGGTGGCTATCTGGAATGTTGAGATGATTTGTTTCTGGAATTTGGTATAGCAGAAATGCTATCCTTGCCCTATATTTTACTTCATTGATGGAATGGCAAATGTAAAAAAACAAAATACAGCAATGTTCTTTTTTAACTTTAGAAGTCCTCAGTTATTAGGTAGATTATTATGGTATTTACAGTGCATTCTACTTTTGTTTCTTAAGTAGCTTGGAGGTTAATATATTTATTTACTGAATGCTTGCAGAGTTGTAGGGCCTTAGATCTGACTTGAATAGGTGGTGTTTTTGTTGTTCGTAATTCAGTAGGAAGTAAGCACTAATTCCCTATTTAGAAGGATGAACTATAATATTCTCTTATAGCCAACTTATTTTGGAACAAATTCAGTTATTAGTCAATTTATGTTTCCATTTCCCTCCTCCCCTTTTTTTTTAAGGTTAAGATGGGCTTACTGGTAGACTTAACAAATACGTCGAGGTTTTATGACAGAAACGACATAGAAAAAGAAGGAATCAAATATATAAAACTTCAATGTAAAGGGTAAGTTAAGTATTGAGACTAATGTTGAAAACTTGTATTGGAATTTATAATTTCTTCTTTTGTCAATATTTTTGTTTCTTTATTTTTAGACATGGTGAATGTCCCACAGCTGAGAACACAGAGACATTTATTCGTCTGTGTGAGCGGTTTAATGAGAGAAATCCACCGGAACTTATAGGTATGTTTGACTTTATCAACGTTTAGAATATTTTGTGGTTAGTTTTCCATTTTCTTTTTTTGTGCTTTTTGATATAGAAAGTTTTTCCCTCTTCCTTTGATGTTATCACTAAGTAATGTTTACTATTGTTCACTTTTGTGAACTATATATATGCTTTCATATTTTTATGTTTGACAGTGGAAAACCCTAACTGCTCCTCTGTGCTGCTTTTGATTTAATAACACATTTCAAATGGATTCATTTTAGTGGCCTTTTTCAGAGACTAATTGTTTTTTGAATTAGTATGATCTCCATTTTATAGCTAGAGAAGTGATGGCTTGCAAAGGCTGTATAACCTGTGTTAGGTCATATAATTGGGAGGCTGTAGAGCTAAGATTTAAAAAGAAACATACTTAACTCCAGAGCTCATACTTTAGACTATGCTTTCTTTCTTTTTTTTTTTTTTTAAATAGGAGTTTTTATTTTCCAAATACAGTACCAGTCAAAAGGAGTGTCAAATTCCAGGAAAATAGCAGTTACTTTTCATCTTCTTACTGTGTATGTGCTTTTACATGATTTTTAAAACATGTGTAACCAGATTGCATAGGATAGTTTTCATTGATGGGAATCAGCCTTTAATTAGAGCTACGAAGGGAAGGAATTCACCCGTCTATTTGTCTTAGTTATCTAGTACTACTGTAGCAGAAATACCACAAGTGGATCACTTTAGAAATAATTTATTGGCTCATATTTTAGAAGTCTGAATTCAGAATGTCAATTTTAGGGGAAAGCATTTTACCTCTGTTGATTTTAGAGGATAGTTCTTGTCACCCTTCTTAGTCTGTGAGCTCAGTTTTCCCTTAGGGGTTTCCATGTGAATTGACATTAGTTTTCTCTTGGGTCTAAGAAGTTATTAGCGCAGGGACCTTGGGTCCAAAGGATGTGCTCTGCCCCTGTCCCTTTTTCCTTGTTGGTAGTGAGATTCTGTTTTCTTGCCTTGTAAGACAAAAGATGTGATTGAAGCAGAAGAGTGTCTTGAGTAAGGGTGGGAATTGAGTCATAGCCCATAATAATCCTCCACAGTAATCCTGCCTTGCTAACACATAGAAATAAATATTTATAGCACATAACAAAGGGGAAGATAATTATCCCAAATCACTAAATGAAGGGCAATCACACAATATTGCAAATTATGGTCTAGCCAAGTTAATGAAAATTAATTTTTTACATTGTTCATTCAGAAACACAATTAAACGTTTAGTATGGGCCCATGTTGTCTTGGTACTTTGGATATGACCTAATTTTTTAGGAGATGTGCAAGTTCTGCCAGTTAAAATAGATAACTGACAGTTATACTGCAGTGTTATATAGGAAAAGTAAGACAGAGCTTTGGAGGATAAGTGACAAAACTTTAAAATATATGTAATAAGTATGGAACAAAGGGTATGTATGTATGTATGTGTGTGTGTGTGTGTGTGTGTATTTGATTAACTTAGATCTAGAGTACAATTCAAGAGAAAGGGATTAGAATGACAGAAGAGACAGATTAAGTTGGTATTATATTTTCTTTTTTCCTTATTAATTTTAATAATTTAGAGATTGTGGATTTCCGTTCATTCATTGTTGCACTTTTCTTTCTGCCCATCCACCCCCTCTAGTTCGTTCTTCTCTTTGAAAGTGAAAGAAAAATTCTTTCACTGTTATGCAATCCCTGCCCCCCCAAGTCCACTCCACTATGCAGCCTTCGTTCTGGACTCATGTCATGACAATAATACCTAATCAACAAACAGATGCCACCCTGGATGTGCTCACTAAGTTGTGCCAGGAAATCTGGAGGACAGCCAGCTGGCCAACTGACTAGAAAAGATTGATATTTGTTCCCATTCCAAAGAAAG